CATTTATTCACCACGGGCGCCCGGGTTGACTCATGCAGCCCACGCGGGGCGAGGGGTGCGGCTTGCGCCGGGGGTCATGGACCCCGCTTACAACTTTTTGCAGTTCTAGTTGTAATTGTGAATGTAAATGTTTTACATCATCATCAATCAGTCCACAGTTACAGGTGATATTAGCATAATAAAAGTTCTCCTTCTGTACTACATCAGCAAACTCATGGGTGTGACTTCCTTTTATCACTCTGGGAAAGTTGTAATTGTTTGAATTATTTTATTCATTTCCTTGACTGTACAAGATTACTACTGTTTACTTTTAAGGCGAGGTAATTTAATTAAGTCTGAGATTTTCTTTTAAATCACTCCTTGAAACCTTGGCTGCATAGTGTACTTATATTTCCACACAACCAGCAGTGGCTATGATCTTCATAAAATACACTACACATGTTTGCCAAGAAGATCCCATTGATGTGTCTGTATACTCTTAAATATTGTTTAACATCTTATTTTATCCTCAACAGAAACCTAAGCAGCGCAAAGCAGAACAACAGACAGGCGATGAGAAGATGTCGAGGTTTGGTCGATTCTTTGGTCAATTACATTAAAGACTGTGTGGAAGCAGGAAAACCAGATGATAAGGTAAAAGAGAGGGAAAAAAACACTGTTTATTTATACTGCATGTTAATCCTGCACTCTGTCTTTCTGTCTGTATATACTTCACTCACTTTCTCCTTCAACAACATGCACATGTCACACCTTCATGCAGAACATGAACAAAAAATATTTTTAACCAGACTTTGCTATTATGTGGCTCTCTATTATGGTTTGCTGAGGCACAGCTGAGTCATGATGTGGTGATGTTCTGTTTTCTGCTAAACGGGTACACCAGAGAGATAAAATTATTGTTTTTGTCAAGGGAGTCTGGCAGCTCTGACGAAAGTGAGATAGCGACTGTTTCTGGTTAAACAAAAAGGATCTTAATCTGTAAAAATAGTTCTATCTCTGTAAGGTTACATGTTGTCAGACACTTGTGAAAACAATCTGAACCTGTCAGGGGCAAAAACAAGCACTTTAGTGGATGTACTTTGAATGGCCGCTCATTCAAAACTGGACCACCTGGATCAAAAAATGTTGCCCCCATTAATCACATCACATCACATCACATAGACACAAAACATGGAAAAATAGGGTCCACTTTGTTATAAACTGTTTGTTATGAGTTTCAGCTGACCATCTTTTTAAATCAGAACTCACTTATGCATGATATGTATATATATTACAATGCAATAAAATAGCCTGTGTCAAAGTGCTTACCAAACGTTGAACATTATTGAGCATTAGCAGAAGTGTTACCCTTTCACTGTCCACTGTCTGAAGAAGTCATTATTTTATATATTTGTCAGGATACATCAAGTAAAGGTAGAGCACACCCAGTACACACATGTTACTATTAGCCTATGTTAAATGTGCCCTTTTGTTGTGTGTTGCACTCAACAGTCTGTAGAAAACTGTGTGTGCATCCTGCACAACATGACGTTCCAGCTGGAGGCCGAGGCTCCGGCTCTGTTCAGCAGGATCACAGCTTTGGCCAAGACTGTCAACAGGAGCCACAGCCAGAGCGACACCGCCCCCATCGGCTGCTTCAGTCCACAGAGCAAATCACCCGAAAAGGAGGTGAGACGAGGAAGGTGCACAACAGAGACAAATATACATACCAATGCCCAAGCAATACTTTTAATCATAACGGTGTATCAGAAATACTTGTAGACAGTATCCACAAGTACCTGTCACTTTGTCTAGACAGTACATGTCAGTGTGGATTTTATTAATCCTATTGCTGTGGGACAATTGCAGTAACATTCCAGCTTTTAAAAAGCTTTGAGTGAGACTTTGTGCCCTGATTTCTAAAGGTGTTAACTTTTATTTTGTGTTAAATCTTTACACAATGTAAAACACGTGTCAGGCCTTAATGTGTTGCATGTTTGCAACTAACACCATTGGACACTGTGTTACAAATCATTCAGATGTATCTTATGTTTCCAAAAATCCTACATGGAAATTCAGCATTTCTTTAAAAGTATGTTCTGCAATAGCTACATGTTGAGGATGATCTGTTTTCTTTCTTATACAGCTCCACTTTGACTTTCCAGTCGTTGAGGATCCACAACCTACTGGGGCAGGCTGGCTGATTCACTCCCAAACTCTGCAGAGTTACCTGTCTTTGCTTGGCTCTAGCCAGCAAGAAGAAACACAGGAAGCTTGTTGTGGAGTGCTGCAGAATCTCACCGCACATGAAGGCATTGTAAGAAAAAATATATTGTGCCATTACATACTGATCAGGACAAACAAAAACCCTGTGCAGTTGTTCTGGAGACAAGTCTGGATTACCTTTTAAATTATTATTGTAAAAATTTTTTCTACCTGGTCAACTTTGTTTGCTTTGCTTTATTGATATCTATGAATGCACTTCTGGGTTTTCTGAGTTATGGGCTTTATATGGTTTCTGTATTCACAGGTGTCTAATGTAATGAGCCAGATGATTGTGCAGAAAGTGAATGGCCTGCAAGTTATCAGTCCCCTTTTAAAGTCAAACAAAGTGAACCTGCAGAGGAGCACAGTGGCTTTGGTGGGAAACCTGACCAAGAACCCAAACCTGCAAAATGCCATAGGTAAGAAGCAGGTGCAAGTATTTTCTCTTCTTTTGAAGAAAAATGAATATCACCTGCTTGTTTTAGACATTCATTTGATTAAACATCTACAGTAATAAGATCACAGTTTTGGGTCATTACCTTGAAATTATTTAACAACTGCAGTTATACAGCCAGTAAGTTTTGTTTGCCTTGTTACTGAAGCTCGTAAAGCCCTCCCGGAGCTGCTTGGCATCCTCAGCGCAGGTACCAAGGGAGGGTGTGAGTCTGATGACACCCTAGCCATGGCCTGCCAAACATCCAACTGCCTGCTTATGAAAGACCCTGAGATGGGCAAGCGCCTGTTAAACAACAACCTGATAAACTCACTGAATGATCTCAGCCAAAACGGGTAAGATTACATGTGAGCAGAGACAGAGAATGTGCCTGCATATGTACTAGATACAATTACTCAAGATATGGGATACCTATGACTCATCAGGGATTATATTTTTCCTTCATGTTAGATTTCCACAAGTCCAAACTGATCTTTAACAATTGTTTTCCCTCTCATTAAGACATTTCCCCAAATCCAAAAAAGCTGCAGCCCTGCTTCTCTACAACCTCTGGTCAGAAAAAGATTTTCAAAGCTTCCTGAAAAAGGTGAGTCGAAGTTTGACTCCGAGTGCCAAGATTTGTCAGGGTTTGGGTGTGTCTCACTGTTGCCTGCCTTTTAACTAAAAAGACCACACCTGTGTCAGGTATTTGTGAGAAACAGAGGGAGAAAGGATTAGGCATTGTTCTCAGAAAAAGCCCAGTGAAATGAAACTAAAGTGATAAAAGGTGAGGAATCCAGTAGCTCAGGTTCGAGGAAACACTTACTGACCTGTGTTTGCACATGTAAGACAGCATATTAGCATGATGTATTACAACGCTAATGAGGGTAGCATTACGTTAAACTTCACCTCGGTGTGAGTGCAGCTTAGTTCATGGGTTTGTCAATGTGTCACTTACTGCATATTCAGCACAATTACTGAGGTTGAACACTTGATTTACATTTAACTATTTGTCTTTCAGCAAGGGATGACTAAGTCCTCATTTGTGAATGACGTCACCGTGGCATCAATTAACAAGAAAGCCTAAACTGATCTCTGAAAGTCATTTACCGAAGTAACTCACCTGCAAGTCCTCCATGGGACAAAAATGCTCTCAGGCTGAGCAGCATCCCTTTCATTTCACAAAGAGATTCTTTTTATTCATGTATCCTTATAATGTTTCAACAAAAAGTTACATGCACTAGCCCTGTATATGGAAGTATAAGATTACTTTTGCTTTGTAGGTGTAAGGAAAAAGAGGTGAAGGTTAAGATGTAACATGTTAGCAGCCAGATTGTCATTGTCGCACGTTTTTGATTTGCTACTTTCAACTGCTGTCAAATGTCTTTTTAATGTCAATTTGATCTATGCCTGCAATGCAGTAACCTGAGCTTGCTTTATTAGATTTTATTTTGCACTGAAATTGCTGTAGAAAAAATTTAATTGAAAAACATTTGATTTTCTATTTTTAGTGTTTAAGTTTGCTATAAAACCAGGGACAGTGTCTTAAGCAGTGATGTGTTTACATTTTGTAAAGATTTGATATGTGAATGTGAAATTATCTCTTTGTAAATGCCCCTAACAGTGTCAATAAAGCTGACCTCCTCTGGCTATAAAGGGACCAATAATTAATGAAAGATCACTAAATCCGAGAATCTGAGTTCATTATCAGTCATTTGTCATAGTCACTGGTGTCAAACCTTGCTCACGTCTCACACCCATCTAGGTTTAGGCTACAGAGTTTGAAATGCTTCTGGGCAGATAAGCAACACATCCTTCAAATTATGTTAACTCCACCCATATAATTTATTGTTTGAGGCTCTTAAAGCCAGACACTTCAGCTGTTGTTACACTGGGGGCATTATGTAATTGTTAAACTCCACAGACCAAACCACACAATCCACTCAACAGCCATGAGGGAATTCTCGGGGGAATGGGTGATATTTAGATTTGAGGGTTCTGGCACAGCTGATATTTTTTCATAATCATTTAATTTTACACTGATAGATTTATGTGCTCATATGTGGTCTTTTAAAGAATAATAATTTTAATTGTATTATTATAATAATGTAGTCACACATCAAGCCTGCCTGGATGTCGAATGTATAAAGCCGGTAAGAAAACGGGTTTTAAGCCAAAATTAATTTACCCTAAACTGCAAATCATAATAACTGATTCACCAGAGTAAACTATACATGGCCTTACTGAAGAAGGTGTGGCTTTATATAATTACCAAGGTGTTTGTGCTCATCTTAACGTTCCCACAAGTGAAGGAACCAAACCCTTAAAAGAAAGAGGAGACTCTTTCTGATTTAATTGTTTTTATTAATTGCAACCAACAAAATCATACACACAAGAACCGATTAATTAGTCTCAACTTCACTTTTAGTACTTTTAAACATGACAGAGTAAGTGGTAGGACATAGAAATGAGGATTACATTGAACATCATGTTTTATTTTTATCCTTTCAAGTCTAAAGTCATTTTAATGGGTTACACACCTGTCAGATCCCTGTTAAATTAACACAAGCTGCAGCACATTGCTGATCAGTCTGCAATCAGAGACTGTCTACTATACTGCTACAATCCTGCAGATGTACCCAGCATGCACTTCATTTCACAAATAACATATTTAACCTTGCAATGTTTTCAGAATTATAATTTGTTCTTCCATGTTTAAACATTAAGAAAATATTATTATGCGGTTTATGTTATTCCCAATCATTTCATGGGTGTCAGATGTTACTTCCTCAGGCCGCGCTTGCTTCTGGTACCCTTTGAACTGAGAATAAAGTGAAAGTCAGCAGAGAAATGCAATATAAGCCAGCACACATACAAACTTCAACTTCACATACATACTTAACCTGTTATGCATATTGAATCTTGTATGTATCATGCATTCTTCCGTGAAAAAATGCTTTTGTGTGTTGACCCCTTTAGTTTGAGCTGTGTGTCGTGCACTTACATATATTTTGCTTTGAAAGTTCAAACATCAGATATTTAATTTATTCTGCTTATGCAAATAAGTCTCACTCTCTGTAGCTGCATTTAAAATTTGAATTATTTTACGCATATATTTATCACAGAAAGGACATTTCAGACACATCATGTCACTATTGTATGAGACTGGAAACAACCCTTCTCTTAAGTCTTAACAGTCTTAACATTTGCTCATAGAATTTGGCTATTAGATGTTTTCCTACACTGATTTGGAACATCTGCAGGCCAGAATCTGTTTGAGACTTTTTTTCTTGTGACCCCTCACCACAAAGCATTATGTATGTGTTGTTACCCTCTTGCAAGTAAATGAATTAAGAGAAGTTCAACCAAAGAGGGATTTTCCTTTCTCAGATAAATGTATTTCATTTTTAATCATTTCAGTGGCATGCAGAGGTAAAATTATACAGACTTTCAAGGAAAAAAACATGATTGTGTGTTCTACAGTGCAGTTTGTTCTTATTTTCTACCCAAATAATCATCTCGTGAATCCTTCCAGTGGTCTCATCCCCTAGGTTGGGAAGCACTGCTCTATAGAAAGCTGCTGCTGGCCTCAGAGACACTGAAACCTTTCCAAAGCGGTCTGCTGTTGGAAGGGGATTTGCTACCAAATAGTTGACCGCTATCTTTATCTACTGTTGCTACCGAGGTACCTGACCCCTGCAGCTTTCCTATGAATACACAAATGTATCAAATTTAGGTGAAAGTATGAAGAATTCTGTTTTTTAAGGTTTTTTAAGATTTAGTGCGGGAAACGCTAGTAATGTCTAAAAATAAAAAATAAAACATTCAAATATAAATCAAGGCTATATTTCAAAGTTATACTTGTTTGCAGTGACAGTATTACACTATTCTTGGTTTGCAAAGCCAATGCCACATTCTGCAGGAAAATCCATATCTTGTCAATCAATAAGCTTGTTTACAGCCTGGGCCGTCATTGCAGCGCAGCCTACATGACATCAGGAGGAATGATTCAGAAGATTAGGATGGCAGAAGGGGCCCATCACTGTTTTATTGTGAGCTACATTAACACAGATGATATCACACCACAGTTTTGAGATCTCTCAGCTGTTGCCATTACAGCCCGTCTCTCCTTTGAGACTGAGGGCATGTTGTTCAGATACCCCAGCCTGCCCTTTGTGGAAACACCTCTCGTCCTTTTTGTTTTCCCAGTCCTGTTTGGCCCAGTGTACAGCTGGCACAAACGTCTGTTACTGACACCGCTTCAAATTAATGGAGATCAGTGTTGAGCTGAGGGGAAGTTGAAATATGAGGAGGTGGAAACTTTAGGCCAATAGGTGAAGAGGTATCTATCAGGGCAGATTCATGAGTCTAAGCAGGTAATTGTTGATTATTGCTTACCTAAATGTTACTTTCTGCCTTTTTGTATCAACTTGTTATGATTTTATATCCTCGTAATACTTTTTTTTTTTTTTTTTACATACCACAGATATTAGATATCAGATTATGAAGTTATGAAAAGAGGTGATATATGCAGAAGTTATATGATGCTGTACTTGGGACAACATTTTTTTTTCATTTACCAAAGCAATAGTTGTGTTAGAGGGCACATGTGCACCGTGATATGAGCATCCAACACAAAAGACTTACACTTTTTGATGATCACTGACCCGGTTTCTCAGCACGGTGACCTGTGTAAAAGATGTGTTTAAAGGTTTACTGACATCTAGCTACTGCGAGAGAGAGAGAGACAGGGAGAGAGAGAGAGAGAGCTTACCTCATACTTCTGCTTAGTGTGTAAATACTGGAGTTCAAATTTCTCTGCCTCCAGCTGCCGCATCCAGTCCCACAGTTCCTTAGCTTTTTCCCTGTATCAGTATGGACAAGACGGTGAAAGCATTTTATAGTAAAATAAAAAAATTATAAAAAAGAAAAAATGCTAATTGACTGGATTCTTTTATCTGAAATTGATTGTGGAAAGTATTTGGAATGAACTTCAGTTTGTGTTTTTATATTACCTGAGTTTGTCCTCTTTCATTTGATCAACATTTAACTCTTTGCGTCGATCATTGAGGATCTTCTTTTTCTTTTCTCTTTCCGTTTGTCTTTTCGGCCCAGTCTGTGTCTGCTTGTAAGGAGGAGGGCACAAGTTGTGATGTGCTGTCCAGTATGTTGTGTGTGTTTATGTCATTTCAAAGATAAAGAAAAATCATAACCTTGTATCCAGTGAAACTCAAGTTGGACAGAATCATCTTCTTCCTGGCATCATCGTCTGCTTTCTTCTTTGCCTCTTCATCTTCTTTTCTCGCTTTCTCTTCCTGGTGGAAAAAAATGATAGTAGCTTTAATTATTCATCGGCAGTATTTTGATGGCTGATGGTATTTGGTTTGACCTGATTCACTTAGCACATGCTCAGTGTAGTCCTTTTGCCGCATGGGAAAAAGTAGCACCCTGGGCAGGCACAGCAAATTTTAGAAGGAAAAAAAAAATGTAGGTAATAAGTTATTATTTTTTCCTTAATTTTTTTTGTTATAGCATTGCCTGCTTTGTAGTTAAACTTATACTTATGACATGTTTATTGTGTCTATGTAGATATTTTTCATGCAAGTTGTTAGTTCTAATGTTTTATTATGAGTGCTACTGTGACAGTGCAAGAAAACTAAGCACAAACACACTCATTTATATTCAGTTGCTGCACATTTGCACATTTTGTTAAATTATATTATTATGTTAAGATACTTGGATCACCCCTACACACACACACACACACACACACACACACACACACACACACACACACACACACACACACACACACACACCAATTATGTATACCATAATGATACATTTCACCCCAGGGTATGTTATAACTAACCCAAACTATGGGGTTAATGATAACATTTTACTCTTTACTCCCTGCTTCTTACTAAACAATGCATTTCCTGTCTGTGTTGCAGAAAAAACAGAAACACCAATTAATGGCAGACACGTGTAACTAGTTTGTATCCCATATTGAACGCACTGGCTTAAAAGAGCTCCGAGATACAGACAGAAATGTCAAAAATGTTACAACAATAGGTGGGAATGGCCTGGGGTAGGACTTTGAAATGTTTAAAAGCCAGTTTCTAAAATGTTTCTGTGGCTGACAGCATAGGGTTTGTCTCTCTTACAGTTATGATCTGTAAATGTTTGTCTACGTATACGTACAGCTACTTTGATTTGCCGTTCTCTTTCTCTTTCTGCCCTGATCTTCATCTGCTCTGCTCTCTCTGACCTGCGTTTCTCCTAAGTAGGAAAGAAAAGACATTTTACAGACCAAACAAACCATGTAAACTGAAAAGAGTAAAAGACAACATTTAATTACAGAATTGGGTAATATTAGAGACTAAACATGGGATATATTGCAGTAGAATAGTGGGATATGAACATACGATGCGATCAGTGAGGCTAAGAAGCTCTTCTTCCTCCTTCTTACGCTTCTCAAAGTGAGCTTCAATCAGAGTGTGGAGCTCCGTCAGATCCTTTTCCATTCGTTTTCGATGAATGTCCTAAAATGATGGCAAGAAGTCGAAATGTGAGCTGAAATATTATCCAACAATCTGCCCAGAAGACAGTTTGGAGGTGTAACTTTGATCAGTCCTGGGATAAACTCACATCAAAGTCCACTATTTCTCCCTCTGGGATTTTGGGAGCGGCCAAGCCGGGCACAAAACCAGGTCTGAGGAGAGTGGAAAAATTCATATCATTTTATTTTAGTATGTCTCTCACAGAGAAGTGTGTTTCAATTTAGGTTATATAGATACTTTTAAACTCTGTTCTTACTTTGACCTGGGTTTAGCATCCTCTGTATGTCAAAAAAGAAAACGAAAGGTAAAATCTTGTGAACAGACAAATATATATATTTCATGTATGAAAAAAAAACACCGAGCAACCTCTGTGCTTCTTACATAACCTGTCCATACCTCCTTCATTTTCCTCTGCAGCATCTGCTGAAAGTGAAAAGTGTCACTGCTAAGTCAACATTGAGGGATGTAGTTAAGTTGCAGAGAGCTCAGACAAATGGGGTCAGAGGTGATTCCTGTGAGTTTTACGGTTGTAAAAATGTGTTTGATTTAAGTGATTATTGTTGGCCAGTATCTTAGTGTTGACAAATATCAATGTTTTTTGTGAATGGTTTTTATAACTTTATTAGTCTGAATTTCTCTTAATGTCAGAGTTACTATACTATATGACCACGGTACACATTTTTTAAATAAACTTTTTTAGCAAGTTGTAATACAATGTCAATCATTGCTAATTGACACATTCACACATTGCCCTCTGGTTGGTCTCTAAAATAAAGGCAGGGGACAGCTGTCAATAATGATAGAGTTGGAATAACCTCTGACACAACGCAGTTGACTGAGGCAACATAGGTGACTATCTCCTGTCAGTGTTAGACAGACAGGTATGCAGGCGTGTCTCTCTCTCTGAGAGTTTAGAGAAGGTTGCTTTAGATTATCTTCACAGATTATATCAGCTGCTACCTGGGTCCCAGTGACAAAGAGGCAGAGAGTAAACTTGTTCACCAGTCCGTGATAGCAAATGTTTTGTTTTCGTTTTGTTTTTGTTTTTTTTGGTAATCAATTATTAATTTAATTATTTGTTATTATTATAATTATAATTATTATTAGTTCACCCATTAAAGTGTGTCAGAGTAAGAAATAACGTAAAAGTGAGGCACTTTACTTTTTCACTTTAGTGGAATCACTATAGGGATCCTTGATCCTGCTACTTAGTAGAAAAAGCTAAATGAAAAAGAAAAATACTTAAAATTTGTAATACTTGTTCATCAACTTTTACACATACATGATTTCAGATTCACATTTAGCTGTTAAACTGACATTTTTAAACCACTGTACAACATGAAATGGACATTTCACCAATAACTTTCAGCAGGTATATAGGTACACAGATGGTATTAGAGATAGTATCACATTATATTCCCAGACTTATGTACATATACATACAGTGTCTAGTGAGAACCATGTATCTCCTAATAATTTAAACTTTTTCTGATTAACTGACACTTTGAGCGTAAATATATAGCTAATTAAACATTAAAAAACCTTTTGGATTATCTGAGAAAAGCATTGTCATTAAGCTGAAAACAGGGCTGTTTTTTCACAGCTCAAGAAAGGTGAGGTTTTAGAGAAACATGGTTTTCCTTGGACAACAACAATTTGGTCCTTTTGTACATATACACTAATAAGGACTACATGGTTGCCAACAGTGTGTAAAGAAAAAAGTCACATCTATTTATTGCTGCCATGCGAACAGATATTAGTATAAGCAGTACTACCTTCTACCTCCTCCTCCTCTGCTACCTCTTCCACCTCCTCCTCCTCTTCTGTGCAAAGCAAGTGTGTAGAGTTAGCAAGCAAACAATGTGACACAGCATTTAGATCCACATTATTTCTGCCATCCAAGCGTATTTTTGGCAGTGCTGCCAAAATCATGACAGTATTTGAAGAAAACATTTGTGCACAGAATTTTATACATGCATTATACAATTAAATCTTTATTATATTCTCCCTGCTATTTCATTTGAACCTTTTAATGAAATGGCCAATGGAGCCTTTTGTATACCGACTCCCTCAATAATATGTATGCAGTTATTGGCAATGGAGGAAGGATAATCACCTTCTTTTAAATGACACTCATGTATTTAAATATTCCTTTTTGTAATGAAGCTGTGCAAATATAATTTACAAAATCAGATTTATAACAATAATGCATACCAATTCCACCAGTTTTCCCACAGTTGCATTTAGCTATTGTATTATTTGCAAAGTAGTAGAGTTCTGTGTTTTTTGTTCCCAACATTCTTCCTCATTGGGCTTCTGTGGGAAAAAGTGACACCAAGCCTTTATGCAGTCATTTCGGCCACAGAGGGTAACTCAACCTCTTTCCACTGCAAAGAAGGTAAGCCAACCTGCATTTAGAGGACCTCTTACAGGCATTGTGGGTATTGTTCTTGTGCCACTATCTTCCCTACGGTCCTCTACTGAGAACATAAGCTGACCTACATTGCTCTCTAACAGTGACTCTACTCCACGTAGAGGGAGACAGGTGCTACTTAGTTTCAGGGACAGCGGGGCTGCACAGTGGCCCACATGGACAGCCTCACAAAGGAGACAGAAATAGAGGTACAACTCTTAACTCTTTCATGGCAACCCATTGTACCATTTTAATTGAAAGGATAGATCCGTTGGGATGTTCATTCAAGGTGAACTATGTCCAGCCTCAGAGAGAGAGAGAGACGACTAACTGAGAGGACAAAGGTCAATCTGGCAGAAGAGCTCAAGGACAGCAGCTGCCTCTACAGTGGCAATGACATGTCAAAAATACAGTATGCTGTAAGGTGAAGCCAGCAGCTTAGCAGATGCAGTGTGTTAAGTGACTAAGAATGTTTAAATGCAAAGCTCAAGTGTGTCAAGGAGGTAACAAAGTGGCAAAAAAAGATGCAACCAGCCTCTCCAGGTTGATGCATGTAGAAGCATTAAGACATTTTACACTGTTTTCATAGATATTGTTTGTATAAATGTACATACCAACAATATCCTTGTCTTCTTCACACCGTACACACAAAAAGAGGTAAAGAACAGAGGTCAGCTATGCCAATGTACTTCACAAGTATATTAAACATGGACATAAATGCATTTCTGATACGTATACATGCAACAGAATCACAACATTCATGCATTTTTGTCTTGTGATGCAGCTGTGTAGCATCCAGTCAGCCAGAATTTCTTACTGACAACAAGCAGCTTTCTTGCTGAATATGCAGCCTAGTGATTAAAATTCAGTAACAAACTGTGAAGACTCATGCTGCCCATATGTGTGGGTTCAGTGAACTGACAAACTGACTTACGTTGTCCTCTGAAAGAAGAAAAAAACAGAACACCAAAAACATTTTTCTGTTACAATTGATTCCATCTGTGCTGGCATCACTTTGTTATCATCACTCTCCATTCTACAGAAATAATCCATTTACTCACTCATATGTGGCGTCTTCAGTGTCTGACATGGTTAGGATGCAGCACCTGCATAAGTAAGTCCAATTCAGAATCATAGCGCATCAACAACCACCTGAACTGGTATAATAATGCCAAATTGTGCCCACATGTCTAAAAGATGGTCGCACTGAGGGATAAGAGAATTAATATAATAAAAAAAACTGCATTCACAGTTTAAAAACATATAAGAAGAGCACACAGACTTACCCAGAAAGTGCAATGTGTGCTTCAGACGGGTCTCAATGGGGAATTGTATGCTGTGCCCTTCTCTGTGGGACATAAGCTTTTAAACCCAGTAGTGGATCACATGGCGGCAAACTGCCCATGTCTACAATGGGTGGGCACATACCTGCAAACAGATGGCACATGGCATTAACCAGAATGGGAAAATATGCATTCTCCATGGCCTTGCATTGTCTATTTTTACACGGCAAAAACCTAGACCTGAACAGCACAGGATTACTGTGCTCAAACAGTTTTAGGATTTCAGGTCTGGCAGACATGAGGAATGTTAGAAATAATCTTTGTAAACCTGTGTGCACACAAATACGCAACGGGAGACCTCAAGCTCCTCTGATTTCCAAACAAAGAAACACATTATTTACTGTTTCTACTTTTCACGATTCTGATGATCAATACTACATTCATCACACCCATTTTACTAGTTTATAGCATTAGATAACAGCAACAATGTATTCCTGGATGCATCATGCAATCAAATCATTGAGCATTATTCCCATAGGTAATGTGTAAAATAAAACTCACTCCCTTCACCAACACAGTCTCCTGCACCTCACCTTTAATATTGAATGTCTGCCCTCAGTCTTCGCATGCAATAACATGTCATCAACAACACCCTTTATAACTGTGCCAAGTCTTTTGATACTCCCAGTGTTTGCTGACAATATTGTATCTGACCCCACAGTCGGGATTATGACTCAACAGATGTCTCTTGTGAGCCAGAGCCAAAATGCAACTCTTGTTTGTGGGTCTGACTGAACCTTAACCCTGGCTTTGTTTACACATCTGCTGTTTTGAAGTCTTCTGTGGCGAGTTCAAGTCTCAATTCAGTCGAGACAAGTTTAAGTCAAGTCTCAAATCTTGTCAAAGCAAGTCCCAAGCTAAGTCTCAAGTCACTGGGGGCTAATAAAAGTGGTAAAAGTCACATATGTCAAGTCTTCAGGGGCAAAATGCAAGTCAATAGCAACTCTTTCATGTCTCTGAAGGCAGGATGCTAGGCATATTAGGATGTTATTAGCGTTTACATAATTAAGACCACCCAATAGGCCTAATACAGAAATTTGTTTTTTTCTTAATTATTGCTATATTGGATGATTTAATCATGTCAAATGAGCCTTGACTTTGTTCATTACTAAACAAGACAGCTGGAGTTAACATGATAAAATATATACTGCAGCACTATAGGCAGCAATACATTGCTATGCACAGGACATCTACTATATTTAATGCCTGACAGATGTATATGTTATTATTACATCAAAGGGAAGACCCAGGAAAGTTTACAAATGTGGCATGATTGTTTTTTTTTATTTTCAGTAACATTTAGAGACTATAAAATAAACAAAAGCAATTTTTAATGGAGACTTTATGAAGTATTATCATGTTTGTTTGTGTGTGTGTAGCCTGTTGTACAAGCCATACACTGATGTCAGACCCTGTACAGTGTATGCTGTAGTCTATGTAATGTGTGCTTTTGTTTTGATGATTTAATGAATATGTAATTCCCTGTACCTGCTAAATCTTAATTTTAACATAAATGTAATACATGTAAGGAAAGAAGCTAGCTACATCTTAATTTTAACAGTTAAAGCTTTTTTTTTTTTAGTTCTATTAATCAACATTTTGGCACATATTTTCTTTTACAGGATAAGAAACTAGTAATGCAGACACAGCTATTCTGTTTATTTCTATTCTGTTTTGACTTAATGTTAGCCTATTTTACAAATATCCGTTGAGTGGGGTGTAACACAATATATTAGGAAGTCTGAATTTTTTTTTTCAAGCTTTCTCCTCCTGCTTGCATTGTTGCAAACCCCACCCGTCTGGCAGCTGAGTCAACTAAAACAAACAACAGAAAGCAATCAGTCTCCTAATACTATTTAGCCTTGACAAGGCACTAGTCCTGACAAGGATGAGCTCAAACAAGTCTAACAAGTACTTATTTAGTAAACATTTCCTTGATCCATATTTTTATCTTAAGCCAGGCTGAAAGTTGGAAAAAATCTCAGTATTTATCTCACTGTGTGCTCATACTGCCACCTTGTGGCAGAAAGGAAAACTGGAGTAAATGCACCCACTGCAACAGTTTATGTTGCTATGTTTTGGGATCCAGCAGTGCAGTATTCCAATATTCAGAATAAGAATAATTAAATAATGTAGTAGTATCTTACAAGAGAAACTCAGAGCAAACATTGTAGATTAGAGCTAAAACAATGGGTTAAATAAACTACTCGATTAAATCCATTGTTGGAATTATTCAGTTATCATTGTAGGCCAAAAGGAATACTTTGGGGTTTAGACTGTTCAGAGGGCAAAACAAGCGCTTTGAAGAGTTCACCTAGAGCTCTGCAAAATTGTGTTGTGAAAAATGTGTCTGTTTGTTTTTTTTTTTTTTTACATTGTCAAGACTGAGTAAGCAAATCCCGAGAAAACAATCTGCAGATTATAGATAGATTATGGATTATATATGTAATTTAGATATTGAGTTTTATTGTAGTTTAAACATTTAATTTATCATTAATATAAACATGATGCATAGTGCACAAGGTTGTAAAAAAAATCAACATGAATATATCCATGAAATGTGAGTTTGATGTTTGCTTGTTTGTTTTGTAAATTGTGTTATTCATTCAAATGCAGTAGTACACCATCAGAGGGCTGTTTCACAAAGGCAGAATTTATAAATCCAGGATAAGAGATAAAGCTAAGCTTGACCTAGTGCATCCTGGCTTTATCAGTTTCACAAAGGCCAAACCAGGCTCAGAAGGTGCGGTGCGACTATGTCAAGCCAGGGGCGAGTTCAATCTCAAAACGTTTTGCACCAGTTTGCAACGTTTTCTCATTGAACGACATGTTTCCTTGCAACGTTGCGCAACGTTCTGCAACAGGCTTTGAGGTATGTTTCCTCCCGTTTGGTGGGCGTGTCACAGGTGTTACTCAAGCGGCAGCGAAAAGTTTGTAAACACAACAGTGTTAAAAAGGCAGCAAAATTAGTGCGCTTGCGTACACGTAAGGGTGTACAGGGAACCACCGTTTCCGTTGAAAAAAAAAGTTTTGCTACGTTTTGTTGGCGCTGAACTCGCCCCAGGTGTAAGTAATTCAGATAAATGGGCGTCAACAGTTTTCTTCAAGAGACCACAAGGTCGATCACAGATTCATTGATGCTGAAATGGAAAAGACGTGCGCAGCATACTTTATTTGCTGTTACTCACTGTTTGTAAAGAAGGTACATACTTTTAAAAGGTGTGTATATATATATATATATAGTAGGCTTGGCAGAGAGGCTGGAGGTCTGTCAATTTTGTGTGAAAATGGTGTACGTGTTTAGTCAATATGTATAATAGTTAAAAAGTCAGTGTTGTGGTGCTCACAGAAAATACTGTATGATATCTGTAACTTGACCCTGAGGCTGTAGTCCTACAGTCTGACAGTCTGCCAATGTAATAAGCATAAGCACATCCACAGCTGAACACTTCCTGCTGTGCTAACTGTTATGTGTTTTACAAACTGTCAGATGTCTGAACTGCACACACTTGAAAAAATTAACAAAATAAAAAAAAGGACTATGGAGATAAAAAGAAGCACTGAGGAAATTGGAAATCCAGCAACTACAAAGTCTATCTAAACAATCAACAAACTACCTAAAATAACGAAATGATTTTTGCAAAGTACACTGTAAGCCTAACTGTAACACAATGTATTACGGTAATCATTGTTTTCTCTCCCAAACACGCAGTAGATGATCCCAGGGAGAGAAAAACATTGTGCTGTCCTCTCCCTGTTTCACGAATAAACAGTGCACAATATATCCACCTTATTGAAATGGGAACTATAATTTGAGAGTATTATAAAATGACATACAAATCCTACATAGTGTGTGTGAGTTTCTTGAGTGACATGTAATGTCCGGTGCTCACCTTTAAGGCACAATATAACATTATAACACGACGCTGAAGTTAGGTTCCGATTTGGCAGTTAAGGGGAAAGTTAAAGGGAACCTAAGTAAAAGTTAACTTACGTTGCTGAGCCACAGATTCTCCGTTTTTTGCACCTCTTACTGTTGTAAAAGCTGTTATGCATTTTAGACAAAGCCTTAACGCTGTCTGAAACACTTTTTTAGATTAGAAAAAAAATTATTTTATTTGTGAAAATGACAAAAGGGTGATTTCACTGCTTTTCTCCACACGCAGACCACATTAGATCAGGTCCAGATCTAAAACCACTATACCTAGAGCTCTCAAATCTGGACTAGATTGTCCCAGAGAGGCTGAAGTTTCAATCAAACATAGTTTCAGATTTGTGAAACCTTTATTCAATTTGTGAAAATGCTTTAAAGGAGGATTTCACTGCTTTTTTCACATGTAGACCACATTAGATCAGGTCCAAATCACCACTACACCTAGAGTTCTCAAATCTGAAATACATTGTCCCAGAGAGGCTAAAGTTTCTTTAAAACACGGTTTTAGATTTGGGAAAAGTTTATTTTGTTTGTGAAAATGAAAAAAGGATGATAGTTCAATGCTTTTTTCACACCAAGTGACCTGGCCTTACAGCCTTTCGACAACTCTGCCTCTGATTGGTTAGTACTCCACTGATTAGGCTGGTTAAGGTTGGGGTTGTGATGGGATTAGGGTTAGCCACTCAGAGTCAGAGTAGGGGTCAGGATTTGAGGCAAAATGTACGTTCTTCAAATGATATTTATTGGATAAATGGTGGGGAAAACATGTAACATATGTTGTGATTTTTTATTTAAGTATTCCAGTTTTTAGCCTTTTCCTGTCTGCCATAGCCCTGTATCTGTTTAAACTGTTGCTGTCTTGTGTTATCCCTGTTGACATAGTAAACTCTGTAATTATCTTGCGTTTTGAGTCTCTGAGTCTGTCAAAGTCCAGAGCCTTCATTATGCAAATAAATAAGAACATATTAAACACATAGTTAAACACTTAAATGCATCGATTACTGTAATGGAATGTACAGTAACTGAGTACATTTTGTACTTTTATTGTGGAGTATATTCACAGTGTGGTAGTACTTTTAATTAAGTAAAGGAGCTGAATAATTATTTCACCTCTGATTATGTTTATGTGTTTATATATTGTATATATTATGTATTTACTATGTACTAACTATAGACATCATCTACAGCCATCAACAGAGAGAGACCTCCAATCTCAGTTACATCCAAATGAAACCCAATATTAACACATTAATGCAATCGATTCGGCTCATTTATTTTTAGCTCTAGGTAGACAGTTTTGTTTAATATGGTTTCACTCTGTAACAAAGAACAAAAAAATACGTAGCACTACAAATACAGTCTATTTACTGTTATTATAAGGTTAGCATTATTGCTAACAACCTTATGCCAATAATGCCTCAACCATGGAGAGTTTTTCCAGTTGTGTCCATTCTGCCGACATTACCTGAATGCATCACAAGTAGCAGGACATGAGGTCAGCTGTTTTGCGCGGGCAACCAGGTTTACTTCATGGTACATTACAAAGTTTTTGCAGTAGCCCAACTTAGTGAAATCACCCTTTATAGGATTTTCACAAAAGGAATAAAGGTAACTGTGTTATAAAGAAACCTTAGCCTGTGTGGAACAATTTAGTTGAGATTTGAGATCTCTAGGTATAGTGGTTTTGGATCTGGCCCTGGTCTAATGTGGTCTACATGTGAAAAAAGCATTGAAATTGCCCTTTAAAGCATTTTCACAAATTGAATAAAGGTTTCACAAATCTGGAACTATGTTTGATTGAAACTGTAGCCTCTCTGGGATTTGAGATCTCTAGGTATAGTAGTTTTGGATCTGGACCTGGTCTAATGTGGTCGGCATGTGGAGAAAAAGCAGTGAAATCACCCTTTTGTCATTTTCACAAACAAAATTAAGTTTTTTCAAATCTATAAAAGTGTTTCAGACAGTGTTAAGGCTTTGCCTCCCCTTAACTTTCCCCTTAACTTCCGTTCGGAAGCTAACTTCAGCGTCGTCATTATAATTATGACAGTTTCAGCTTCTCACACATTCAGTCGGTCCACTATTGGCTGCCACACTTTCTTTCGCTGGTTTATTGCTGTACCCGTGTGTTACCTTTTCTTTTATTTATCCTTTTTTTTGTGCTTTCATTCCACATAAATCTACTCCCTGATGCGAATTGTGTGCAAAGTATGGTGCACGCATCTTCTCCAATTATGAAACCTAATAACCACAACCTACTATTTTAATACAGGCTACTAAAAAATATGCAAAACACATAGGCCTACATAAGAACATGGAATGACTGAAAAAAACACTTTGGTTTCTGATCGGCGTGACCGCTGACTGAACAGATAACGCACCAAGGTTAACTAAGCCTGACTGTTAGCTTGGTCTGGAACAGGCTAGCTGCACAGAATAAATCGCCATGGTAACTTAAGTGCCACTGCGTTCGTGAAACCGAGTCGAGGCTTAATTCAGTCAGGATATTTGGAAAATCCCGGTTTAATCCGCTATCCTGGCTTTGCGAAACAGCCCTCTGAGCATCTTCAGAATCTAAAAACTAAAGAATTGTGTATGCTCTACTTGCTGTAGCATATATCAAACGCACCCCTCGCAGTGAGGCGGGCTGTTTGAACGGTTGACTCTCTGCCCACCATCATTAAGCGTTTCATGACGAAGCTAACCTGCAGCCACAGTCCAGTTACCTTGCTTCAGGACATATTTGAACGTGGTAATAACATGTTCAGCTGCTGCTGTTCCTCAAGATGGAGTTTCCTGTCCTGCTACTGTCCCCGGCAGACTGGCTCATCTGAAAGGATTAGAGATGCCAGGTAGCAGTGCGTAACCTCACGAGGCTTCAGGTGTGTTGACTGTGCTAGCTTTCATATACTGCGTGGCTCTCTTGAAGGTCTGCTTGTTGACGTCTTAGCACATTTCTTCTCTCATGCAGCCGTCAAACGTTACCTCAATTGCACAGGCCAGTAAAAACTTAAAATAAATTCTTTGTAATGGCTGAGCTTAGTCTTTGTGCGCTTTCAGTTTGGTACATGCATTTTTAGTTTCCTTGATGTGGATGTGAGTAATATTTATGTGCGGATCTATCCTAAAGTGTCGATATTCTGATACCAACGTTTCCTGCTCTAGGATCGATACTTATATAAAAGGATCGATATCTAAACTCTGTAATTTGGAGTGAGGGTGTGTTTTATCGTAATTATCTTACTGTCGGCAGGATGGTGTAATTACAGGCTACTTGGTTGATAGGAATTACTTTTCCTTCATGCTTGAGCTACAGCTCTGTGACGGAGCTTCTTCGACGTGAGCAGCTGCAGAGCTTTACATTTCCCGTGATCAAATACTGACTATGGCTGATTGTTAAAACAGTCACGTCTGGCCGTATTTTAGATGTGAAGGTAATATGACGCTGTGTGTGATGTGTGTGTAAAGACAGTGAAATACTTTGGCAGCACTGCAAACTTCACTAAACAGCTGAGATTAAGTCGGTCACAATAATATGATGATGTTATGAAGCCGCAGTTGTGTGCAGGATATTTTATTATAATTAAAGAATATGACGGTAGTTTGATGTCTTGTCATTATGCAGCTATTATTTTGAATTGGTAGGGTTACAGCCGACTCCTTATTTCTCTCTTAAATACAGAAACGGGAGGAGGGAGGTCACATTAAACTAGAAATAAAATATGTAAAAAGTATTGGTATTGGTATCGGCAATACCAGCCTGGGTATTACTTGGTATTGGATCAGATAGGAATTAAGTGGTATCGCGCATCACTAGTGAGTAATGGTGAATTATAGCCTCAGTTGTTGCCATTCTGTCTTGTATTTTGTTGAAAATTGGGTCTTCACTGTATTGCACTGATTGTAGTTTTTGTGTCATCTGGCTTAGATTACATTTGGAATGCATTATCTTAAAAAGCTCTGTATCTTCACTTAAAATGTGTGTGTGGAGAACAAGCAGTCCACAAAACATCACATGTTCATGAAAGCAATATCCTAAATCCACTGGTATTGCAGAACAGCTGGGGCGTGTGTGCTTCCCTTCTTATTAGTTAATATTCAAAAAAATGCACTACAACCAAAAAGAGACTGTATATGCTGTGTTTATTTCAGTGACAATGAAACAAAACAAAACACACAGTGTAGTGAATATAAAATACCAACAAATTGTTTGCCACCCTCTGAAGTACTTGAGAGTTTATGCATTTATGTTTTGTGTTCTTGTCTTCTACACTCTGCGGTTTACAAGTTATGGTATTTGACATTAGATGGAAGCCAGCTGTTTCTTGAAGAACACCTGTTTACTGGTTTGGGCCCTTCGCTGCATCAAACATCTTCTTGCGGCCCTCCATGCCTGACATGGCTTCCACATTCTTTCTCCAGTCACTCATCTCCACCGTCTTCTCCTGCACAGAGAGAATCCCAGAAAACATGTGGTGTTAGACTGAAGGCTTTCTGCACATTTAGATGCATTCAAGTCTAACATGAGTCCATCAGATGTTAGATGGAGTTTATTTCTACAGCTGGAGCCTCTCCATTAAACAGAAACACTCTTGGGATGTAGGAGTATGATATTTTGCATCAGTTGTTTCTCTTTGTTTTGGCAAAGAAAGCTGATTGGTTTGTTTTACACAAACCACAATGAAGCCAAAGGCTTAAATTGCACACAGAAATTAATATCATGGAAAACGTCTCTGCACCTTGTGTGCTGTAGGAATAATAATTTTTTTTCTCCTTAGCTTTGACTTTCTTCAACACACCCCCACCTTTTCTGTGTCCTCCTTCTTGACTGATTTAAGATTAGCTCGCAGATCCAGAGACACCTTGTGTTTGGAGCCCAGTAGGGAGCGCAGGATGGCATCAGCAGAGACCCTCACCCTTCTGAGGTTGGGTCTCTTAAACTTCCCTCGCAGGTCCAGTACCTTAATGTTTAGGTCTTTGATCTGTGGAGAAGGTATAGAGGAAGTTAATGTAGCCACAGCCAGCAGCAGGTATTCAACTTTAAAACTGAATGTCCCATTGTAGAATCACTTCATTTAAAGCAACATCTGTTGATGTGGAAATGATCAATGCTGTTCGTTGTTATCTTTCTGAAACAATGTTTAGTTACCTCTCTGTTGTTGTGCAAGACTTTGGCTTCAATGTCATACCGCTCCTCGTCCACCACATCTATTTTGGCATGCAGCTCTTCACATAACGTCTACATAAGAGGATTTGGATATTAATTTCTCACCTCCTGATTGAAATAACATCTTTAGCAAAAATATTTCAGTGAGCCAAAAAGACTGGTGTCTGGTGGTAAATGTAAAATTATACCCGTAGCTCTGCTAAGGACATGCTACTGGTCTGTATTGGAGGAGATTTGTCTTTCAGGTAATTTTCCTTCTGTTCCTCTTTTTCTTCCATCTCCTGCTCCAGCTCCTCCTTGGCCTTGGCAACCATCAAGCTCTGAAATACCACACACAAAGTAAATTAACTTTCGTGATTCACTGTCTTTCTGACTGAAGACACAGTCTGTGCAAACGGACTGAGGACTCACCTTCAGCATGAGCTTGCGGGAGGCTGAGATTTTAGATTTCCTCTGCGAAGATAGATTAAATGGGATATTTTAATAGCCCAGTGATAATCATGTACACATGTTATTAGATTTCTTTAGTGCATAGTGTCTTGTGAAATCTTACCTCCGGTCTGTGGGTAGAAAATAATAAAGGGCACAATAGACACAGAAATGTAGCATTAGCATTGCAGAAAGCAGACATGTTAATGAGTTGTATCTGGTAGTTGCCAAATTATATTTAATAATGTGTTCTATAGATAAATCCAATTTGCTGTATGAAATGGATACTCAGATTTGGAAATGGAAACAATAACAGAAACACAATACACTTACACTTTCTCAGGCATCTTGGCTATTTCAATTCCCCCTGGAAGACAAAAATAAAACCTTTTGTCTCTGAAGTTCTCAACAGTAGGGACCACTTGGGTCAAGTGCCCCACTGGGTCTTAAATATGTTTTCCCTTTTAGCTCCACTATAGATACATTCCACCTCACAGTCGACGGTATAGTGTTACACGAATGGAAATATACAGTATCTTTTGATCTTTTATAGACTGTTACCTAGTGTTAATTATTACTCCATTGCTTTTACTATTCTTTACCAGTGGTTTGTGATTATTATATAACATTACTAAGGGATGTGACTTTTCACAGCCTGTTTTGTTTATCTAGCATTGTTATGTCTTACTCGTAGAAAGGCCTGCTGGACAGAATCATCCAGTCACCTCCCAGTGCTGATAGCACACTCATCTGCCAGAAAGCAAAGTGATGGCAGACATGGAGAAGCATGCAAGGTCCTGACATGGCAGCTATTCCAGATGGATAACATTTCCTGCTTTCAGCTCCACTTTTCCACTGGATAAAGACACAAATATAGACATGGTCCCCCATTCTCAGAAGACTACTGACCGAAACCTTTTGAAGAATGCCCATTTGACTTTACCAAGCAAAAGGGTAAAAAATAATGTGCATGTTCTACATAGCTTTGGGTGATATATACCTTGAGACTATGTAAATTAGTCAACCATTTGAGAGTTTAACTAACAGTTCTTTTCATTATTGATTAATCTTATTATTTTCTTGATTTGGTTGTTACTTGTTTAGTCTGACCAACATTTTACTTTCCTACCATATAAGACAAAGACAAGCAGCATATCATTTGTCAATGTCTGTCAATTGATTAATTAGCATTTCAACTTTAGAGTTTACCATATCATTTAAACTGTAGTATCTCTCCCTTGACTTTAATTTAAATGTTTTTTAATGGAATTAGAACTGAAACATTTAGTTGAATGATAAGTTATTATAGATTATTTGTCAACAATCATAATAATCGATTGATAGTTTAATAATAAAAATAATAATTAATAGTTTATTTTTTAAGCAAAAGAGTGCTGGCTTCCATCTAATGTCATGCTTCTCAAATGTGAACATTTGCTGGTTTTCTTCGTATTCTGTGATGGTATCTTTGGTCTTGGACTGTTGGTCGGATAAAAATAGATACTTTAAGACGTCCCCATGGCTTTGCAAACATGTTATTGACATTTTTTGCTATTTGATTTAATTCTGTAGACCCTATGATTAGTTTAGTTGATTTAGTATAGCATGAGATATATATATATATAGATTCATGGCCTTACCTTCCTGTGTTGATGCTGTGGATGCAGACCGACACAAAGTGATGGAGAGAACACAACCGCATATTTATCTCCTGCTCCCCTTTGTCCCTCCTCTATCACAAGGAGACTTAAATAGAAACACGCACCCCATTAGAGGGGGTGGTCTCTTGTGTTGACAGATCACTGCTCTCTGCCTCTTTATAATAATGTGTGTGAACCTTTCTGTGTGCAAGGACAGGATAAACAACATCCTTGTCGACTTTCACTTCAGCCGTTTTCAGTCAGTTGTTATCTGTTTTTCCTCTTTCACGTGGGTAAACTATTTAAAGCTGTAGGTAGGATCTTCTCTACTCTTGTAATAGTGATGGACAGATTAATCGGTCAGCCCATTATCTGCTGATTCCTGCGCTCATGAGGCTGATAAACAAAAAATGTATGCGGACACGTCTGCAGGCAGCCTTGTCAGTGTGGCTCCTGTGGAACGATGTCGGCACTCCCCACTGTGAGTTTTGGGAAAGTGGTGAAAAATGTCAAGCTCTAAATGTCCTCTGTCACCTTTGTCTTTTCTAAAAGTTAACACGTTTCTCCTGTCCTAAATGGCGGCAAATCTAATCCTAAACCATTATTGGCTAGCGTTAAATATATATTGTTATATTGTTGAGAAAAAGGCAGTTGAATGACTTCACTTCTGACAAACTGTACCCCACTCTCCCTTAAACATCATGTTCTGAAATCAGCCATTGAAAAACTCATATCGGCTGACCACTGTCTTATAGACAGCTTAAGTCCCTCGCTTCCGCTTCTGCCCCATGGGACCTTATTTCAGAAAAAATATGTACGGTAGTCAGTGGCGACTTATCTTTTTATACGTTAGAATTGAGCCCTGAATTACACATATGATGTTGGTCAATTTAAAATAAATTTTGCCAGTCAAGAAAGTCGCAGTTTGTCCAAAGTTACATTTAGATTTGTGTGAAATCTCTTCAATGAACTACATTTCTCGTCTCGCACAATGTAACGTCAGCAACGTTCATTGGCTGCCACCAGCTAGGTAATTTAGCTATGTTCCACACAGAAATGTAACTCATCTGATGTGTTATATCCAACAACTATCTGTCCTTTTATCACATCATCCTCTCCTGTATGGCTTCAGTAACGTTAGCTCCAGTCATCGAGAGAAACAGTTACGATGTCACATACACGACTTTTGGGTTTGTGGTCTTTGTAATTATGTATTTTCACAGTCTTATACCTCACTGTTTTACAGCAAACTGCGACTTTCTTGACCTTCAAATTTATATTTTAAATTGACAAACATCATATAATTCTGGGCACAATTCAAACGGGATCAAAAAATTTGTTCTCTCTTGCCATTGACTACCGTACAATTTTTTTCCGAAATAAGGTCCCATGTGTTCAAGTTCAAGTGACCCTTTTTTTTCCCATTTGAGGCAAACTTCAAGCAGCCACAGCCAAACTGTTTGTCTCACTGTAAATGCTTTTCTGAGATTTTCTTTGGCTACTGAGAGTGATGTTGGAAATGTGCCCTGTCCCCCTGAGACGGCAGGGCCCCCTTGGTCTGATTAGGATAATAGCTGCAGACAACGCTAAGCCGTGGTTTTAAGGCAGGAATGCAGTTTCCAGTATACATTTAGCTAAGGCCTACCAACTAAACATAGACAAATTGTATCACCTTGTGATGCTGCCGCTCTTTGTGAGCTCAGTTCACTCATGCAAGGACAATCAGTCCTTTAAATTAATCCACAAAATCACTTATGTCTGGTTTGTGTTAGAGATTTAATAGTCTTCAGCTTGGACAGCAGTGGCACAAATTTTGAAGTTCAGTTTGACAGCTTTGATGTGGACCGACTGACAGATGGAGAGACGGACATTGCCATCCATAGAGCCACCCAGCAAAATGGAAAAAAAGGGAAAGTTGTGGTCTTACTTCTTTCACAGGAATATAAATTACAAAAGCTTAGGCTAGTTTTCCTGAGCTGCCTGTTTGTACAATGAGACCAGAATAAGTAAACCATGTCGTTTTCTCATTAGCCATCTAGCCGTCTAGACTCATCAATCATTTACTTGTACCGGAGCCACAGCCAAGCCAGTTGGGAGGCTGGAAGATCACAGTATTGACGGCTCTCTTCATGAAAAATTAAGGGTTCTTAAATTTGCCAAATCAAGTGACACACTTGTAAATGATTAGTCAATTAATAGATTAGTTGATTAAATATTTAATAATTGATTAATCATTTTAGTCATTTATTTAGTATAAATAATTGTTACTTGTTATTTAGTATAAATGACTCACAGACTCACAGATTCTTAAATGTGACTATTTGCTGATTTTTATGCTTTTCTTGCCTGGATCTTTAGTTTCTTTCTTCTTTTTTTTTTTTTACATTGTGTTGACTATGCTATTAATCGAGAAAATATCCCTTTCCCAAAAAAAGCCCTGCAGGACAATCTATTAATGTGAATTAACTGTTGGGCTACTATTGAATTTTATTTCTCATCTATTTATGTCTTCTAGATTAACTATTGTTTTAATTATAGTTATTTACTCAGTTATCTTTTAGATTTATTAAAAGATTGTTTAATAGTAGTTAATTTGTGGTTTGGATTTGGTTTAAACTTTTGTTTATTGTATTGGATATTTGTAACCACTTTCAATAAAACTGCTATAAATACACATCTTCAAAGTTTCACAACTGCTTCCATTAAAAACCTGGCCATCTTGAACACCTATTAAAAGGGTGTTTAGCTCGCTGCTAGTGAAGGCAGAATGGCTTCAATACTTTTTGGCGTAATGTTCTCTGACTCTCTGAACTCTGCTGGAGGGATGGCAACACCATTCTTCCAAAATCTATTCCATCATTTGGTGTTTGATGGTGGAACATGTCAGTCCAAAATCTCCCCTAGCTGTTAAACTGAGTTGACATCTGGTGAATACAAAGGCCAAAGCATATGATTCACATCATTTTCATCCTCATCAAACCGCTCTGTTGACTCTTTGTATGAAGCATCTGCATTGTAATGTCCCTCCACCCTTTTTCTAAACACATGCTCTGCATATGTGGCAACGTGTGTGGCTGTTGGATTGTCTCCTACTTGCAGAGGACGAGCAGCAGTTCAGTGCGCTAATTTGCGAGTTTTCAGCCTCTTGACACCACTGTGACCTGCTGGGCCACCAACCCTGCTATTTATTACAGCTTCATATCCCATATGTGCATTGTTCAAACTCACGTCTTTATAGTGAAATGAATCTGAGGATGTATGAGATAATTTCATTTTCATGGTCTACAATCTCATCCTCCATTTTTTTTAAAAGAAGCCTTAGATTGTTAAAATTTGCAGGTCTGTTCTTTTGTTCTTGATGGGTCAGGTCTTTTCCTGAGTCAGGAAATTCCTGATCCTGATTTGATTTATGACACTGAGATCCAGGCTGTTGGCTCATGGCAGCTGATTATAATTCCACAGTATATATGGCAGCAGGATTAACAAAGTGCTCTGTGTGTTTGCTAGGCTGTCTCTAGGAAAGTGAACCCTAACTCATTTATACAGATGCCAATGGATTATATAGCAGCTTACAGTAGTTTTCACATCCAACACTTTGTCGTAAAGTATAGTTTAAAGGCGGGTTCACACCTAAAGATTTAAACCAAGGCAAGGATGATGCACTGTGTCAACTTCCAGAAACTGTACACCAAAGCCATGTGGTGGAAATGGTGTTCGATTACTGGTCATATAGTCAGCGGGTAAAAAAAACAAAACCCACCAAATAATACCTACATACTACTGCACTTTAATGTACTGTTGACTCAGTTCTTTAACTTTTTTTGCCTCTGGCTCCCCTGTAGTGTGCATCCTGGTTGCAGTCACAAAACTTTACAGGTGTGTAGTAATAAAAATGAAGGCCAAGTTCAAAGATGAGGGTGTGGTCCAAACACGGGCACCAGAATTAGGGGAATAGGAAGCAGTGAATGGGCCAGTGGCCCCCCACTTTATGCTGCTCACCCACATTAATTTTAATGTGATCCCATCTCAAGATGGTCTCTATTTTATTATGAATCTAAATACATGAATGCTCTGGAACAGATCACAGCGTTATACTTTAATCTTTGCGTGGATTTCAGACCCAGTTTTGCTGTTGATGTGACTCACATGTTGTACTCAGTGCCAAAACAAACTGCTGCCCCCACCCCACCATAGATGCCTAGCACTGTGCTCAGTGTGCCAACTCTTCGGCGATGGCAGAGACAGGGCTGAGCACTACGACTCTGTTGTTTTGCCGCAACAGCTGGCATTTGGCTCTGTGTGACGATGATTAGAAGGAATAACAAGCACACCCAAGACCATGTAAACATGCACACTGATTTCATCAGATCAGAACCACACAAAGAACAATGACAGTTGTGTAAGGCATGCAAAACTTTGCATCACGCGGGAATAATAAAAAAATCCATCCTTTTTTTGCCTGATATTTATTTTGTGTCTCAGCAATAGCGTGTATCTTAAAACAGTATTTACACCATGTGACATGTAAGGCAGGAAAGAAGATTTTCTCTTAAGTGTAACTGAAGCATAATGTGAGCCTTTTTTTCACAGCTGTCAGTTGGGAACATGTTGGTCTTATTTTGTTCGACTGATTCACATACTCAATATTTGCCAAACTCAATCATGTTACTATAGTGCGAGGGTCTCAGTACTGCCACCACAGAGTTTTAATTATTATTAATATTATTATTTATTTTGGAGCCAGCTTGCTGTTAACTAGTCACTTTAAACACACACAATGTGCACATCAAAACACTGAGTTATAATTCAGTGTTATAAATGTTTAGCATGACATTTAGTTGTTTAACCAGTCAAAAACTAGAACATCATAATCTAGATTCAAATGCATCACACAGAGCAAAATCTACTTGGTGAACTCATTCAAAAAGCTGTGTGTTGTGTGCTTCTTTCATTCGTCCATGCCTTTTAGCTAGAGTGAAAGGGCAGAGTAAAATAGGCTAGATATTGACTGACGGATCCTGGAAGCGATGATATCAGAGCTCAGATGTCAGTCCCAGGTGGGCCGAGGCTTCAGGCTTTACTGGGAATGAGCCAGAGCTCCTGCACCCTGACCAAAGCCAAACCCCTTGGGACCAAAGTTCTTTGCATAGCAACCTGTGAATGACATTACGGAGACTGAGAAACACTGCATATAATACACTGTCAGACTGGAGTTTGGATAACAAACTAATGGTTTTAATATATAAACCTCAATTTGCAGAGCCACAGTATCAGAACCACAGAGACTTTTAGTTGGTAGTGGTAGTGGTTATTTATACTAGGTAACTGACAAACAGGAAGTCAGAGGGCTGCTGACCTGTTGGGTCTCTGTCTTACGTAATTTAGAGCAACTGCTTCTGCTCCACAGGTTTAGGTTCCGATGTCACTAGTTGAGGTTAAACTCAACCAAGCACATGAAGAACTGTATGTTGTACAATTACAATGCCTATCACAAAAAACTGCAAGTCGTGCAGTACAGTAATGCAGTAATGATTCATTCATGTCAGAAATTTCCCAGTATTGTCTCATTAGTGACAGCTATTTGTGTAGTTTTGATGTAAGGACTGCAAGAAGTTATTTTCATAAACTCATTATTTTATCTCAAATATTATATATTGTTTGGTCTATAGGATATCATTAAATAGTGAAAATCCCCATTGGTATTTCTTAAAGCCCAATGGGGCATCTTTAAACCCCCCCAAATATATTCAAATTTTAGAAGTTGGACCAAAGGAATATTTAGTATTTTTGCTGGAAAAATAATGAATAATCATTGAGAATGGTTGCAGATTCAATTTTTTGCCCATCAACTAATTAAATTTTTTGATTCACACAGACCTTTACAGAAGATCTCCCCATCTCTATCAGCCACGGTCGTGGACTCGAGTCCTTTGCCACACTTGGCGCAGCGAAAGCAGGCTTTATGCCAGGACTGATGAGGGAGCAGAGAGTTGGTCAAGCTCAAGAATATACAGAGAACTTACAAATAAATCCACCATTCATAAACTGAGATAATTTATAGATAAGTCTCTCTTACATTGCCTCCTCCGATAACCTTCTCCGCTGCGTACACTGTATTCCCACAGCGAGGGCACACATCCGAGCCCCCGGTTTTCTGGGCAAACTTTGAAGCGTTGGGGTTATTCGTAGGGCGATGAGGAGCTTGTCTGTCAAGAAAAAACAGAGCTTTAAAGAAGGCGGTAACTGAGGAAGGAAAGGGATCAGCTGGAGGAAATCTCTGAGACTGAGACACAGTGCTTCATTAAATGTAATAAGCGCTACTAATACAAATATACATGTTGATTCTTTTGTTGTTGTTTCATCCCTCAGTTGAGGCTTTGATCCAGCATGTGTAGAAGTAGTTTTATCTGTGAACACCTTACCGTTCAAGTATTACATGAACTGCACTCTGTCATTCTATAATCTGAATATACAGTAGCAGCACAGCTTTAAGTGTTTTAAATTGTTTAAAATAACAAGAGGAAGCGCTGTTTTGCTCACACTTCAGGCTTGATTCCAAGTCCTTCTCCCGTGTCCATACTCAGAGTGCCGGCTCCACCTCCAAAGCCGTAGCCTTTCGGCCCGTACTTCTTGCCATAGCAAGATTTGCAGTAGATCTCATCTACATGAACGGCCACGGTTGTGCTGTCCAAGTTCTTCTTACAGACCACTTACAACAAAGAAAAGGGGAGGAGGGGTGTAACCTAATAAGTAATACGAATATGCATGTGATTATTTATTTTTCTTTAGTGCACAAGCATCTTCAACAAAACTAACCAAACAAACAGTTCTTGACATTTTTTTCACAGATGTTTAGCTGTGACTTTACCACAAACTATGCGTGACATTTTTAAGAAGAAAATGGCATACCCATTATGTACTTAGCTAGCTCAGATAAATACTTGACTGTGCTGTGTACCTTCCTCTGCCATATAAGGAAGACCAAGACTTTGTCACATGTTTCCACTGGATCCAAATAAGGACTTGAGATGTCTGAGCAAAAACCTGCAGATGCTCACTTTCCTACCCTGATGCCAAATACTCTGCATTCCACCCTGGCACTTCTTGTGATCTCAGAGTTGGTTACGCACTTGGAGTCAGTAGACAAGTAAAGCAGATTACCTGAGAACTTTAATACTTACTGCACAGAAAACAGGATTTATGCCAGCTCTTCCCCTCACACTGCACTTCCTCAGCGAAGTAGACAGTTTTCTGGCAACAGCCACACTTGTTTCCTCCCCCGAAAGGCATTCTGTAAGCATACAGGGGGAGCCTGTTGTGTACATTTATTATTCACTGTATATATAATGTCTGTCTTCTGGAGCACAGACCAGTGTTACTCTGCAGACAGATGCCATCTGCAACACTTAAGGCTGGATGCAGCAGTACCTATAAAAGGAGAGGTACCACTTTGCTTTGATACACTGCTCTTTCTTTCCCTCTTCTTGTTTTAGCGTACCAGCATAAGAAGCACTGTTCATTCCTGATTGTAAAATGCAAAGTATCATAGCACCAAACCACCTCACAGATATAAAATTATGTCAGAACACTCTACATGGTCACCACACCAATGTGAGTTCTGAGTCTGATGTCTTTATGGCAACAACCACTTGTCATAATGTTTGCAATACATCAGCCAAAGGTGATCCACACAGAAAGTCAGCAATCTACTAGATCGCCCTTGACAAACAGGAAATTCCCCGCATTTCATTTTGTAATCACATGTTAACAGTCGTGACCTCAGACATCCCAAAAACCTACAATACACTCAAACAATCTTTTGGAAAATAATAAATAAAGACTGTTCGGGGATAGTTTCAGCATAGTCTCCAAGTATGACTACAATAAATCTTGTAGCATTTTTACCTTGGCGCCTTTTTCAAGGTTGGTACTTATCAGATGCTTTTTCTGTTGATTATCCTAAACAAACCTACCTGCACTGAAGTGAAAGGCTGGTCCTCTCTGTGGTTGTTCAGTGGTATTAAGAGTTGAGAGGAGACACTGGTCAGATGAAGGGAAGCAGTGGGAGGCTGAGTGGACACCAGGCTGAACTTGGGGAGGAGTCAGGACACAGAGACAGAAAGAGGGAGAGAAATGTAGGGAGGAAAAGGAGGAGAAACAAAGTGTGAGTCGTTATAGATTGTTATTGAGATAATTATCATCAATAATCATCTCCATTTATATGAAACGGTCATACATTGTGAAATCACAGAACCCCGTGCCAGAAAACAGTCAAATTAAATGTTAAAAGCAACAGATGGATGGTAACATGTCATTGCTATAAAGGAGGCCACACTATTGAGGTTCAAGGTAATTCTGCACAATAGCGACCCCGAATGGAAAGACAAGGGAACTGTTGTAAGTTTTGAAGAGGAGTGAGGATTGACAGCCCTATTCTATAATTAACATTTTTATATTAACAGTGGATCAAATGTGAAATTGGTGGCCTATAATGATAATGATCATCTGACTCTGCAGTCCCAGTCAGCTCTAAAGCGTTTTAGTGAGTTTCAACTTATTTTTTTCCATTTTACAGACTGCAACATTACAGTTTTGTTCATTCTGACCACTTTCATAATTGTTTCCAGGGAGCAAATAAATATAATGCTTAGCTGTTAAAAAGCAAGATATTTCCTTCAGGAGTTGGTGGAGACAAAATTGAGCTAAATGTGTGCCTCAGGCAACTGTTTTCTACCAAACACACCATTGGAGCTTAAAAGGTGACAAAATCCCAATGTTACATTTAAAGTGTGTTTCTTCTCCCTCTAAGAGGCAAGAAATGTAGATTATGCAGAATTTCATTTGCAAATCCTCAGCAATCCTCCCAGTCTACGACTTTTCAGCAGGCACCCTGGTGATGCTCTGTCGTGAAAAACATGGTTGGATTGAGGTCAGATGACGAGATGATTTGGCAAGTCAAGAGCATTCCAGAGTTTGGTACTAAAAAAATGCCTCGGTGGCTTTCTACATCAGTTTGGTATAATCATCCTGCTGGAGAAAACTGAAGGATTATTGAAGAATTACAGGTCCTACACTGTTGGACCTGGATGTGAACAACTGCAAAGTCCACTTTAACTTCATAGTCCCTGAGCCATAACGGTGTAACAAATATAAATGCCCCAACACTAGTATTAAGCTTCACTGGATTCAAATTGAATAACTGAATGTGACAATATAGAAACATGAAGTACCATGTTTTGTTAGCTAGTAGTCAATCGACCTTTTATTTCATCATCATGTTCATTTGAGATTGTTGCTCTTAACCACATCTGACATTTTCTCAGGACAGCTCCTGCAGTGGATTTGTCTGTGGGGGTAGTACATATGTTCTTGTGAAATACTCAATGATATTTGTCAATACTCACACTCAATACTTTGTGTGTTGGATTTGTGTACTCCTTGCTTAAGTCTCTGATGACAGTTGATAAAGGAGAAAGCATGATGAGTGTCGAAAGCCTGGGATGTCCCCACTTGCTCAGTGGATTACTCACCATCTCCAGAGACCTTCTGGATCGGTTTAAGTGAGCAGTGTGAATCAATGAGTTAATCAGACATTTCTTCTAGTAATGCTATACTTACAAAAAAACACTAGGACATCTCAGCTTAAGTGAATCATCATTTGTATACTTAAATTAATAGTTATTTTCTTTGGTCATATACTGTACCATAGTATATTACTAATATTATAACTTGACCTAACAATAAATTGTTAACTGGGTGTTTGGCATGGACACCCCTGGACTAGTGAGGTGAAATCATTGTATGTTTGATTTGTTTGTGTGGTTGTTTTAAACAGATATTAATATCTGTGATGCTTGGTGCATCATTAAGCACATTTGTAAGGAATGGTTTGGCACGAAACCAAAATTAGGAACATATTTTCTTATTTACTAATTCACGTAAGTTTCTACACTAGAGTTAATATCTCTAGAGTAGAAATTTAAATGAATTTAACCAATAAGCAAAAATGTCTGTGTGCAGTGTTCAAGTACATTACTACTGTCTGTATAAATGCGTACTGTAGGTTTAAGTGCCTCCCTGAAGAGAAAAGGTTTTGTGTGTTTGATGTGATTTAAGTGAGGCTGACATCCATCTTGTGTTTTTATCGCTCTTTGTATGATGGTTTAAGGGATATGCCTTTGGACAATTATTAAAAGCAATAATTGTATTTTAGGAAAGGAGCCTCTGGTTTTTATTTGTAGAGCTTGAGCGTACAGTCTTTATAGTCTCTCTTATACACACATAATACAGACATATAGACACAATACGCAACTACTACTACATTAAGGGCATTGTTGGCATTTTGCTGGTGATCTTGTCCACTGTGACATTCAACAATTGTGCAGGTAGGCATGGGTTCACTGTCCCTTACACTTTAGAGCATGTCACATGTGTGACCTTTACAATGTGATAGATGGTCAGCGTAACTATAAAGTCACCCTGCTGTTTACCAAAATAAGACTCTGAGGTACAATCTCATGCATTCTGCAGCATTTTATTCCTCATTTTGTTTTGTCATTCAGTAAAAAACAAAACAAAACATGGATGTTATCATTTCCAGCATGGCTCAACATCTTCCTACAAAAGAGAGAATCAGGAAAGGTGAAACTGATAGAGAATCTGTATTCGAGGGAAGGGAAATAAAAGCCAGCAGAGAGTGATGCTGCTTGGTCTGCCTTCCTCCCTCTCTCCAAGCCCTCCAGGCTCTTCACCATCATAGGAAGAGACAATGATGAACTCAAAAAGCCTATTTATAGCCCGCGATTGGCCAACACTAGCCCTCTGTTTCTGCTCTTTGGACATCTGCCTTGGCCAATTGTGTAGTATATGTACATGTGATCATGCTCATGACAGAGAGGGGGAAGAGAGGAGTGACAGAGACTCAGTGGATTTAATCCAGAGGAAGAAGAGGGGGTAAGAGGCAGGGACGGGGCTGGGCTGTGGTCCATCTATCAGTGTGCAGAGGAGTGGTGATTCCTTATTGGAGTTTCATGGAGGAATTCAGCACAGTTTCTTTTTTGCATTTGACCTGACTTGAAGCCAGGATTCCTCCCCTGGTAATGATATCCCTTTTGGCAGCATATTTCACAGAATCTTTGTCAAGTTGTCAGGTGAGGAGGAAGAGCTGGAGGAGGTGAGTTGACTGAGAATGTGTTAAATCCTCCATGGCTTATATCCATGTTGTTGTGTGTTATTTCTGCCAGAATAATCTCATGTAGCCTCAGTTTGCAATTTCCAAGTGCAAGTTTTATTTAACGTCTTTTAACTTTACTGTGGAGCTGAAATGATTAATTGATTGAGTAAGGAAGATTTATCAGCAACTATTTTGACATTCTATTAATCGTTAAAGTAAAAAATTTCAAAGATTTACAGGTTCCAGCATCTCAAATGTGAATATTTTCTGATTATCCTGGTCTTCTATGATATGAAAGCACATATATTGGGTATAGGCTCATGGTTGGGACAAAACAAGACGTAAATATGTCAACTTAAGCTGTGAGAAATTGTGATGTGCAACCTTTTCTGAGACCAATTGAGAAAGAAATTCACAGATTAATTCACAATGAAAGGTATTCGTTAGTTGCAGCCCAACTTTGGTGATATATTATTTGAATATACTATTTTTTTGGTCAACAGTAACCTAAATCCCACTCATCAAACTAAACTAAACTGCCTTTTTCTCTAGTGTCCAGGGACACCAGTAATCAAGTTACTAATCCGTCTAAATGAACTTTTTAGCAGTAAAGCTCTTGTCCAAGCCTGTGTGAGGAAACAAAAGCAAGCTGTTCAAACACAAGTAGCCAAAAGTGTTTGTCAAATTTTGTCCTTTAGATGGATTTGCATTATTAGATGAATTTCAGGGGGGGAATAGAGATAATTGTGTTTAGGGCAGAGGGAGTTTGGCAGGATGTCTGAGCTGGATGTCTATCTGATTGAACAAGCAGCAGTTTGACATTTCAATGAGTTTAATGTGCTCTCTGTTGACTCCTGCTCTACTGCACGCACTGTGGTCATAATGAGAGGCAAAGAGATGCAGTTTCATAAATTAGTCAGTAGAGGTCACATATGGGCAGAGATTATGTTTAAGTGATGTTGAGACACACCCTGATGTCTCTCTCTCTCCCGCTCTCTCTCTCTCTGGCTGTCTCTTGCTGTCTTTTGGTGTGTAGTACTTGCTGTAAGCTGCGCCGATGCAGAAGGTGACAAGGTGCGTTATCTGAAGCAGAATGTGCACGCATTGGAGTGTGAAGTGCACAATTAATAAGCAGTGAGAGTATGGTGAGGGATGAAGGACTTAGCTATCAATACAATTCACTTGGGCTGTTTGTACCTGTCTGTAACCCCACTGATTCTTTATCTTGGCACCTTTTTAATTAAGTTGCGATTATGTTTAGCCCCTGTTTGAGGGATCTAATAATGTAGATAGCAATTTGTGTCTCTCAAGGTCAGACAGCATGTGTACAGTGTGTGCGTGGAGATTAATTACACATTTCCGAATATTTCAATGTTCAGCCAGTACACATCTTCGACTGTAATCCTCACTTATCTACTGCTTGTGACTCAACACAGACGATTTAGGGCTCTAATTTCCAAACTGCCTCGGTCTATAATCTCCCCTCATGAACTTTAGACATCCTGCAGAGCGATTTAACTTCAAGGACAGGCAATTTGTTCAAATTTACAAGAGGGAATATAACATAACCCCACCCTCACACCACCCATTGCCTTGTATCTTCACACCAGTATGTGTTGTATCATTGCTCTCGGCACACGCTAAATTTGGTCATGATCCACCACATGTCCTTGGCCTGCACACTTCCTGCCTTGTAAGTTGATTGTGTGAGTCATTTTGCAATATTAGGCCTCACAACACACAGGGGGGTTGTCTTAGTCACTGTTTGTAATCCCCACCTCAAAGATTATCAGGAAAAACTGTGTGTGAGCCCATGCTGTCACCATGTCATCGGTCCTGTCATTCTTTTTTTCCTGAGCTGACACCTCTGAGTCGGCTCCCTTTGGCCCAGATTCCCACTGAGGGTCGTGTTGAGGGAGCCTGTGCCCTGTAGG